CATCACACTCAGGGGCGTGATATCGGAATGAAGCTGAAGGATCTGCTGGTGGTGTACTAGTCATTGTCAATTTGTCATTTGTCAATTATTACATAATGAAGGCCAAATGAAACCTGCAAAGAAAGAGAAAAGATCTAAACAATGCACCGGATGGACATATCCGGAATTGAACCGGACACCTCTCGCATGCTAAGCGAGCGTGATAAACCAACTACACCATATGCCCTTGGGTGGAAGAAGCGAGAAACGTCTACTGGGATGTTGCTTGTAAGCGAGAGCAATATCTATAACATCTAATATCATACACCTGAAAATACACCGGGCAACGACCACAAGGTCTCACCACAACGCTCACTTGCTATCGTGCACCTCCCTCTCCGTCGCCCTCCCTGCCGCCTTGCTCGCCCAGGCCCCGACGACCCCGCGTTCCACCAGCGCGTCGACCTCCGCGTGGGACATCCCCAGCGTGCCGCACAGCACCTCCTCGTTGTGCGCCCCGAGCTCCGGCCCCGCCCACCGCGTGCGCGTCTCCATCCCCTCCAGCACCGGCGCGAGCCGCGGCATCTTCACCGTCCAGCCCTCCTCGCCCTCCCCACCGACACGGACGTCTTCCACCGCCCCCCGCGCGCGCACCTGCTCGTTCTCCATCACCTCCTTCACGCTCACCACCCGCCCCCCGGGCACGCCGATCTCCTGCATGACCCGGAGCACCTCCTCCGCGGTGCGCGCGCGCGTCCACGCCGAGATCGCGGTCTCGATCTCCGCCTGGTGCGCGACGCGGTGGTGATTGTGCTGGTACGCGTCCCCCGTGAGGTCCTCACGGCCGATGGTACGCATGAGGCGCTCGTACATCGAGTCCGCGTTCGCGCCGATGATGATGTACGTGGGCGCGGTCGAGCCGGGCGCGGGCTGGCACGGGTACGCGTTTGTCGGCACGATCCCGGTCACCGAGGAGCCAGAGGGCCCGCGCACGACGCCCTTGCGATCGTACTCGGGGACGATGCCCTCCATCAGGTTCAGCATGCTGTCCAAACGGCGTCAGTCGGGCGGGCGAAGAGACGGACGGCGGCCTACCTCTCCATGATGCTCACGTCGACGGTCGTCCCGCCCGCGATGCCCTGGGCCTCCTTCTGTCTTCGCGAAAGCAGCGCGAGAACCTGCGTGTGCACACGGCGATGAGTCGCGCGCCGCCCTTCGCCAGAGCGTGGCACTCACCGTCCCAAACGCGGCGTGGAGCCCCGCGACGGAGTCTCCGAGGCTGATGTTCGGACGCACCGGGGGCCCCGCGAGCGCGCCCGTGTCGGGGTCGGGGAAGCCATTGATGTAACGAAATCCGGATTCGGCCTCGCACACGGAGGCGTAGCCGGGGCGCGAGGACCAGGGACCGGTCTGGCCGTAGCCCGAGACGCGGGTGAAGATGAGGGAAGGGTTGAGCGGGTGGAGGTGGGCGGGGCCCATCTTCCATTTCTCGAGGGCTGGAAATCGAGTGAGTGGGGACGGCGAAAAGAGCGGGAGGGGACGCACTGCCGGGCTTGAAGTTCTCGATTACGACGTCGCTCTTCACCGCGAGCTTCCTCGCGAGCCTGTGGGTACGTGAGCGGGAGGGCGTGTATACGGCGACGGTTGAGACGTACTCGCGTCCCTCGTCCGCGCGGAGGTCGATCGTGACGCTCTTCTTGTTGCGCGCGAGACTGCGCCACCACGGGCTCGTGCCGTCGACGTCGAGCTCGCGCCAGTGGCGGATAGGGTCGCCGGTGTTCGGGGGTTCAACCTTGATGACCTCTGCGCCAAAATGTCTATCGAACGCGGTCAGAAACGTCAGAGAAAGAGTTGGAACCACGCACCCGAGCAACTGCCCCGCAAACGGGCCAGCGATGAGCTGTCCGATTTCAAGGACGCGAACACCGGCGAGAGGGAGGTTATTCTGCGGATTTTGCAAGATAGTTGCTCTAGATATCGTTCAACTTTTGGGAGGCAGCATAGTTCCAGAGCAACGTACAATGTCCGTGTTTGTGATGGTGACGGCGCGACTGCCCATTTTGCAGTTCTGGAGAGCATAGCGGTGTGTGTTTTTGTCGTACCAAGTCGTGTGTAGTCCCGTGAAAAGGGTCAGGAAAGTACCGAGCGGCGAGGGGGGCGGGGATGTGATGGGGAGAGGCAAGCATCGTTCCGCCTTTTGTATCCTTGCCATGACCTCGACTCTTCGGCCGGTGAGCAACATGCTCGTCGTCCCCGCTGGTGGTCTGCATCAAGCGCGCAACCCCGCGGGGTTTCCTTCGGCCGAAATCCACGACGAGACACCACGCAGGTCAAAGCCGACACGTCCGATCACCGCAAACAAGTGCTCTTACTTATATATTATACCCTGCCGGGAAACCATTGAAGCTCTATTCGACAGATGATATGAAAGGTTCCCGACATCCCCGTGGTCCAGCCCGAACCCGTCTCGTCACAACCACAAGAAATCCGTCGGGGCGTCGAGCAGGCACTGCGCCACTTCCGTTAGCGTATCACCCCCGTCTCCAACTTCATACACCTTCACCCCGCCTCCTAAAGCGCCCCCCGCAGCAACCCAGCTCTTCTCTCCACCGTCTCGCGGACGAAGGACAACCCCGCGCACATGCTTCAGCCCCGTGCGCACCTCCCTCACCAGCGTCGGCCTGTCAGGGTTCGCGAGAGAAAAAATGGCGAGCGGGTCGCCCTGCGGAGATGGCGCGTTGCGGTTGGAGACGTACAGGTGTCGGGGGACATTGAGGATCGGGGGTGAGAGGATGATTTCGGCCGCGAGCATGTCGCCGAGGGGAGAGGGAGGGTTTTGCATTGACGAAGTCGTGCTGAGGAGGGTGGGCGGGGATGGAAGCGCGGGCAGCTTGTGCGTTGCAACTGAGCTCGTCAGCTCGCAAAGCGTGTACAGAATCCCGTCTGTGATCCAGTCGTGGTCAGACATGGGATACCCCCAACGACCACCGGGACGACGCACCCAAGAAAACAGCATGGCGCGGTCCACTCCCCGGCTCATACTCAACATATCCTGCCAGCGACCACTGCCCGTCCTCCCTTATGAATCTCCACGTCCTATCGGATCCGAGATCGGGGACGAGCAGCTCGTCGTGTTCGGGAATGTAGACGACCTGGTGCGGGTGCGACGCTTCCTGCCGCCCCGCGTTCGGGCCCGTCCCGCTAATCGCGTGGGTTTGGCTGGGTTTGGAAGGAAGATGGGGTTCGATGGTGGATATAGGGGTCACGAAAATGTTGCCGGAGGAATACTGATAGAGTGCGAAGTCAGCGGACGATACGACAGGACGCAACACAAGCACTCACGTTCCCGACGACCAGTTCCTCCTTCAGCGCGACCAAGCTCGCAGGGTCGCGCCCGCCGCTACTTATATCGCCGACCGCCTTCAAGCCGCCCTCCTCATCCGCCCTCAGCGCGATGATGCGCCCATCTGTCTGCTCCAAACCGGTGAAGATCAACGATGGATCGTCCGGGTGCGCCGTCAGCCAGGAGGGGTGATGTCCGACTTCCAGCGACGCGATTACGCGCAAGGACGGTACGGCGGGGTCGAAGGCAAGTGTGAAGACCTTGGACGTATAAGATCCTACGAGAATGCGATAGACCATGGTGGAAGGAGCGATACAAGCGCAGGCGATAGGATGCACGACGGAGAATAGGGACCGTGCTGCCGTGTCGTCGGACGCCGATAACCCGCCAACTTGTCCTCCTCTCTCTGCCCGGTCCCCCGCCTTTTATCCCTGTCTTGAGGCCACCCATCTTGCCTTCGGATACGTGTACGATACGCCATACCCCCCGAATGCACGAACCACGACCGCCCTCCGCCCTCCAAGCCCAACCCCGCGCGCGCGCGCCGAATATTGTCCGACACTGTCCAGCACCGTTCCATTCCATGCGGCCTTGTCGACGGGTCCCTTTTTTCGGGGTAAAAATGGGTGGACGTGGGCGTAGGGAAGGTAAGGGGGATGGTGGGGACGACGCGGGCATGCGAATTCGACGTCAACATCAAGAACGGGCTCGCGCGCTGGACGCCGAGATTACGCCGCTCTCAGCCGCTCTCCCACTGCGCGCTCGTTCTTGGTTGAGGATTGCCAGCGTTACTCCGTGCACCGAAGATCCACCGATGCGCGACATCGGCGTGATATGACCTGGGGATGTCGTTTACGTGGGCAATGCTGAGGAGGTGAGCGGCGCAAGCCACGGCCTGGACTTCAGAGTTTGTACTGATATATGTTCATTGAAGTTGGATGAAGTTGCAAACTTGCAATCGTTTGCTGGCAGAGGATGTACTTTTGATACTCCGAATAGACTATCAGAGCTGTCTTTAGGCTTCTCCAGAGACGGGGTGGTATCTAGGTTATAATCACGCATGCTCCCGTCAACGTACCGGCGAACATGCGTCGGTCCACATCTCTGTACATCTCTGGCGCGCACGCCATATACCGAGTTCCTGGAAGTTAAAGGTCGACGAATGTTTATCGAGACCGTTATCCTCCGCCTTGGGGGAACTGCGTGCACTCCCTAGTTGATACCTACTTACAGGTTTCGGTTGAACGTTGACGTTGAGGTTCGGCCTTGCAAACAAGAAATTGTCCACCGCGTGTCACGTGCCATACAGCGTCTCGGATCTCCGGAAGGAGCGCCGGACGTTGTCCTCACCGTCTACGATGTCCCCGCCATTTCCTGCGCTCCGCCTCACCGACGCCTTCACAACTTCCAATGCGGTCCACACGGAAACCCACAACATAGATCTTGTTCCTCTCACCGACGTGGCCCTTGGCGTTCACAAGATCTCCAACCCATCCGTCCTGACACACAACATCGTCACCGCACCCACCCACCGGGATGGAACGCAGGCGTGGGAGGCGAAATACCCCTCAGGGAGCATCAATCCGAGCGGGAGGATCAAGGGTGGATTTGGGTTCTATCTCGCGGGCGCGGAGGGATTCAAGCATGCGCTGCAGCGGACGGGAACGCGCGAAGTGTTCATGGGGTACGAGGTGCTGTTCGAGCCGGGGTTTCAGTGGGTGAAGGGCGGAAAGCTTCCGGGGATATGTGCGTTATATCCCTCGTTTTACCTTTGGGCGAACATCGATGCTGAGGGGCGCGCAAGTCGGCGGGACTGGCGATCTGGCGTACAGGTGCACGGGAGGACGTCAAGACGAACGATGCAAGTGTTTCAATCTCCGGCTCATGTGGAGGTGTGTGCTTCC